GGCCCATGCCGCCACGCTGCCTGGTCGCGGACAAGCAGACGCCTCTCTGGGCCTGTTGGCCGGGGGACTCTTGGAAGCCCCTCGTGGAAGCCCAGATTGATAAAACCATCTCCTTTGAGATCTGGTCGCGCCGCCGAAGCTCCCAGGACCTCCGATGCCGTATTTTTGTTCGAGTACGAGGTCCCCGCCCCTTGGCTTTCGAGACATAACTCGGCTCTCCGGCGGCCGTTCGGGACGATCCGGGCACCCCCGGAACGCCCTCGACGAGGCGCAGTTGATAGAGACTACCCTGGCCTCGAAGACCTCCGAAAGCGTTCGAAACGTCGGAAAGCTTCCCTCTCGCGAAGACCAGACCTTTTCATCCCGAGCCGTTCGTTCACCTCCCGTCGTTTTTTTCACGACGCGGGCATGTCTCGGCCCCTCCCCGCAGGCGCCCCGGACCCTCGGTGCTGCGATTGTGCCCCATGCGGCCCTCCAGGGGAAGTCCCGACCCTTTCCATAGTCGAGCACGGAAGCTTCAGCTCGTCTAGGATTGAATGCGTGTCGGCAAATAACGCTCAGTAGCGCCAAGTAGCGCCCAATAGCGCCCAGTTGCGCCGGATAGCGCTCAAATAATGCCCATTAGCGACCAAGGGCGCCCAACAGCGCCATGTAAGGGAGATCCATCATGTCCGCAACCACACACCAACCACAAACTACACATGTCAAAATTCTATGGCAGAAGGAGATGGTGGTGATCAGGGATGGGGCAGGGAAGGAAAGGAAGATAGCACGGCACGATGCAGACGGTGAGTGGCACACGACGGTGACCGGGAAATTGGTGGAAGCGGCGCTGGAAGAGTCAATGCGGAAGGGGAGGCTGAAAGTAAATCCCGCACCAGCCGAAGAAAGCGAGTGACGCCATTCTGGCGGAACGATCGGACAACGCCAGGTTGTCCACTGTATTTTAACAAGTTCGACACCTACACGTTCAGATTACTCATGTTCTCCGACTTCGGACCCAAGGGGGAAATCGAGAGGGAGAGGAAGGTGGAAGTATCCTTGCGTCGACGGCGACTTCCCTTCAGGAGCTTCTCAATCCTTCAGAACTCCAACCACCGACGGCCCATCATCGACGAGATGTGCGCCATCAGCTGGAAGACAATACACTACGACAAGTACGGATGGCGATTGCAACCATACTTAAAACAAACAAATAGATTTTATCATAAGAAGGTGCGTGGTTTGACAAATTCAGATAGGATTTCAGAATTGTTTATGAAATTGGGCCATATTGATTGGGACTTTGTGGCGGTAAACGCAAAGTGGAGGGACGCCAGGGAGGAATTCTGGCTGTCCCAGGGCGGCCATGCATTCATGGGAACAGGACTTTAGAAAAAAACAGTCGTGGTGTCGCAACTGTGATTCACAAGCGGTGGGTATCTGCGATACGACAGTTCTGCCCCGTCAATGAGAGAATTGCGTATGTCGGCATACACAGGGGACAACCAACACTACGTGTTGTGAGAAGTTACTTTCCGCATTCTGGGTATCCTGACGGTCATGTGCAGTCTATGCACGATCTTCTTGGTGGTTTGCACCGGGTGGCTACACATCAACGAATGATGTTCGTGATTGGCGCAGACTGCAATGCCAGAGTGGGAGAAGCAACCGAGGATGACGACCATAGATCAATCGGCCATCACGGTATGAAAGATATGACTGTGAGGGGCCAGTGGTTTAAGCAATGGGCTGGTCACCAACGTTTAAGACTCGCAAGCACGTTTTTTCGGAAACAGCCGGGCCATTTATACACATACGCGTCGCCCAATGGAGTGCAGAGACAAATCGATTTTGTGATGATCAACCGGCGGGTTTGGAGTATTTTTTGTGACTGTGAAGCAACGCCCACCATCGACATGGGTCTGACCACCGCGCAGTACGAATGACAATGAGGATGCCCACGACCACCGCGGACACGAACCAGCCGACCAAGTGGAATAATACATCCAAGCAGCCAGTACCAACGTGGCCACCACACGACGTGATGCTCTACCGGGGGCGTCTTACGGACAAGATGTTTGTGGACGCAGCTGGAATTTGAGGAGATCGAAGTACGATGTGGCGAGATAGAGGCAACGATGAAAAACTATACTTTCCGACGTCCAGCCGGAACATGGCACAAGTGTGAGCGATGCCCGACAACAGACCATACAACAATTGTCATATGTGCTACAAGAAAGACGTGGGACTCCATTGTCTGACACTACGGCCAGGAGGCGGTTGATCATGGCTAAACGGAAGGAGACGAGAGCCATCCGGAGAGCGACACAACGAGCGACACAACGAGCCCGAGTGAAACGCATCAGCGGCATCAAATCGTACAAACGGAAGGAGCGAATTTCTAGTATGACCAATGCAGACGGCGTGGCACAGCACGACAGGCAATCAATTGCAGATGTGTTTGCTGCTTTCTACAAGAAGCTCTACCAAGACACCAACCGAGGAGAACAGACTACGCCGAGCACAACCGATCAGGGAATCCCAGTTTTGACCAGTCGCGAGATTGATGTCGCTCTACGACAACTGATATAGATCGAACCGGGCGGATGATTCACAAGGCATTGTAGCAGAAATGTTGACGTCTGGAGGCGGATCGTTGAAGCAGGTTCTCTTGGGTCTCTACAACAGCATTGCAAGCCCGACGGCGCCGACGCCAAGTTGCTGGAAAAACGCGGTTACCAAAGTAACCCACAAGAGTGGCAAACCTCAGCTACCACACAATTACCGACCTATTGCAACCATACCATTGTTGTAAAATTGTTCTCGCGATTTTTTCACACCCGCTTACACCCCATCTTAGACCCTCAACAAAGCAGCGACCAAGCCGGCTTCCGACCTCACCGCAGCACGTGCGATCATCTGTTCACGATCGCTCAACTACATGAGATGGCGGACGAGTGGGGGATCCCGCTGTGGACAGCCACGGTCGATGTTAAGAAAGCTTTCGAAACGGTCACTTACCAAAGCTTCTGGCGAGCTCTTAGTGACCAAGGGGCGCCTGTGGCGTACCTACAATTTTGGGCCAAACTGTACGGTGGGCAAACAGCTACAGTCCGAACAGACTTGACGAGCAGAGAGCTCCACATACAAAGGGGCACGAAGCAGGGGGACCCGTTGAGATCATTCTTGTTCAACTGGCTTTCAGATAGTATTATGCGGACCATCAAGCAGAAGTGGTCTACGAAACGGATTGGGGTTACAGTTACAAGCTGGGCATGAACGGCTTACCATACTCCGGTTTGCAGATGATATTATTTTCATATTTTGGTCACTACGCCACAACACTAGCATGTTGGACGACCTGAGCAAGGAGGCCGCCAAGACAGGGCTCGAGCTACAGCCGGGTAAGACGAAAATGATCCACAATGGCCACCGAGGTTCTAGAAAAGAGAACGCACCCAGCCACACAACTGCCAACCGAATGTCAATCGAGATTTTGCCGCCTTACATATGGGAAGAAGTTACAATTCAGTGAATTTCACGTCGCCGAGCTGGAGAATCGCATCTCGACGGCATGGAGAAAGTTTCCTCTGCGGTCAGGATTGTCGGGGAAACATTTTTCAATGAACAAACGGATCCGATTATTTCATGGGACTATTACACCGATTCTTATCTATGGATGTGAAGCATGGACAATGACAGTGGAAATGGAAAACCGACTCTGGAGAACTCAGCGCCAGATGTTGCGCATGATGTTGCGTGCGCCAAGACGTCGGGGCCCGCGACAGCCTGGACAGGGGATATATTCTCAAGACGGCTCCGATCTCGAGCCCTGGGCAGACCACATTCGACGGTCCACCCACAAAGCTGACGGGATGATGGGAAATTTGCAAATCATTGATTGAGTACCGACCCAACGCCAACGAACATGGAGATGGGCCCAGAAGGTTTGCAGTGTGGCAGAATGGGAATGGACATCCCAGGTGTTACGATGGGGCCCTCAATGCTATTCAATGCGTGGTGCACGACGGCGACCGGGACATCCGAGGAAACGGTGGTCGGATGATATTGTACTCTACGCCGGGAACGACTGGGCTTCCGAAGCCCTATCTGACACATGGGATTTACTTGAGGCAGCTTATGTAGGCAGGACGGCGCCTGAGATTTCTTTATAGTCTGTTTCACACTGTACCATGTACATGTGCGTGTGTTGTTTGTTCACTTGTCTCACACTTGCCCGGTGCCACGGCGCCAACCTGCGACGCCCCCACCAGCGACAGCTGCAGGTCCGACGCCCGATGTCCGATCATGTCCGCTTTGCGCGCGATTGGGCTCGCTATTGGGCGCCAGATGGGCGATCAAAAGCTTTCGTCGGTTACTTTCTAATTTTCCCCAGATGTTCTAACCTACCTTAGCCTTGATCGCCAGGAAGAATTTCAAGCACCAGCAACATACCAACCTTTGAGGGTTTTCATGTGTGGGGCCCTGGGAGGCGACACTCTGTCTACACTGTTTCGATACTTTTCTTGGGGCTCGAGCTTACTTCTGGGATGTGGTCCTCAAGTACCATGGCAGCAACATTTCCCCAACCGTTTTTCAATCAAATTCCCTTCGTGCTGTTTCCACGACGCGAGCGCACGAGATCCGTCATTACAAACATTGCCCCAGCGCCTCCAGGGGCCCACTGAGGCGCAACCCCATGGCATGCTTTCGACGGTGGACTCTCATTTCGTCCGCTTTCGTGTCGTTCTCTTTCGATTCGTTCTCTTTCGCGTCGTCCTCCGAAGCCCTGGCGAATCGCAACAGGACGAGTCGAAGCGGGCGAAGCGAAGCGGACGAATCGAAGCGGACGAATCGAGGCGGGCGAAATCAAATTCGGACGGGAGGAAGCGGTGTTCGCCACCCCCTTCCGCAGACGCTGTGGCTCAGGCCTGTTCTATATGCCTACCCTAGTGGCCGACCTACAGCCTCCATAGGACCCTATCTAGGAGGCCTCCGGTTTGGGCCCCCCTTTCCGCAGACGCTGTGGCTCGGGAGGCCGCGGTCCGAGGCCTTCCCCGGTCCTTTCCAGGCCTCCCCTGGGCCCCAGGAGGCCTACCTGCGGGCCCGCCCAGTAGGCCTTCCTATAGGACCACCCCATAGGCCTGCCCGAGGCTCTTCCTCCTGCTCCTCCTCCTCCTCCTCCTCCTCCTCCTCCTCCTCCTCCTCCTCCTCCTCCTCCTCCCTCTTCCCCCTCCCGCTCCTCCTCCTCCTCCTCCTCCTCCTCCTCCTCCTCCTCCTCCTCTCCTCCTCCTCCCCCTCCTCCTCTCCTCCCCCTCCTCCTCCTCCTCCTCCTCCTCCTCCTCCTCCTCCTCCCTCCTCCTCCTCCTCCTCCGCCCCCTCCTCCTCCTCCTCCTCCCCCTCTTCCTCCTCTCCTCCTCCCTCCCTCCCTCCCTCCCTCCCTCCCTCCCTCGATCCCTCCTCCCTCCTCCCGCCCTCCCTCCTTCCTCCTCCCTCCGCCCGGTGCCCCCCTCTGGCTCGGGAGGCCGCGTCGCACGGCCACCGCCGAGCCGTGCGGCCGCCTCTCGGGGGGCCGCCGCCGCCGCCGCCGCCATGCTGGCGGGCGAGGGCCCGCCGGGCGCCGCGGGCGAGGCCTCGAGCTCGGCGGCTGCCCGGGCCGCGGCAGGGCCACGCCCGCAGGCCGCGGCGGGCGCGGCCGTGCGCTGCAGCGGGGGCGAGCCGGAGCCCTCGGAGCAGGAAAGGATCGGCTCCACGTGAGAGTGACCTTCCGTGCGGGGCCCAGGGGGGCCTCCCGATCTCTGGAGGCGATGTGGGAGTAGCGGCTTGTACGCCTGGTGGTGTCCCACAGGGCCCCCGCCAAGGCCGCGCACCAAGGGTCCGAAGGTCAATCTTGGCTAGGGTCTCATGCGCGCAGCCGAACCATATCACAGGAAACAGGTGCCAATACCGCTACACCTTGTCTCGTTTTCGCCTTTTTGGGCCTCGTGGGAGGCCCTTGTCGTCACCGCTGGATTCGCCCCGGAACGCACCCCAGGAGAGGTCCGGCGAGTGGCGGTATCGGTACCTCTTGGTGTCCCCACCAACCCCGAGATCTTGACGTTGCAGTGTTTGCCAAAACTTGTTTCGTCAGTCTTCGGGCACCAGGGCCTTTACATATTGATCGGGCTCGAAAAGATGGCGCAGAAAGATTGGGTCTAGATCTCCGGTGATGATTATTCGCGATGTTTTGTATCTTCGTTCCCCTCGACCTGGAACTTCGACGGTTGAGCCTCGGAGGAAGAGCAGGTTTGAAGTTGGGCGGCCCTCGTCGGCACGGCTGGGTTCGCCTCGACAAATCCTGGCCGGAGTGCAACCCCAGGAGGCTGTCCCGGAATGCAGGAGCCGCCACGACTCCAGGCCTCCCCCCAAAGTCGGGGTCCGAGCGGAGGGAATCGGAGGCTCGCGCCTCATCGATATGGTCAGGGCCCTGTACGAATGGGCTCAGGACCCAGACGCCCTCTGGTCACGAAAAAATCAACGACGGGAGGTTCTTCACCATTTTCGGCCTCTGGATGCCCTTACCGGTCCTCGGGAGCATCAAGAGACGATTCGGGATGAGAAACACTCGGTCCCAGGGAATGCGTCGAGACCTCCAGGGGTCGACGCTATGAACAAGTCATGACGTCGGGGGTCTGGGAAGGGGCTATCGTTGTCGGGGCGTTCCGAAGGTCTAGTCGACACAAATTATCCAGGCGAATGACCCAATCATATACAGTTGTGAATATCGCAATTGTTGGCATCGTCTTCGGTGGAGCTTCCCATGGGTCCCGAAACGTTTGAGGGGTGTGCCGAAATGGGCGCGGCGGTGTCATGCGAGCGCAGGCTCTGGGGCCTTCGGTGGAGCTCCCTATGGGGCCACGAAGCGTGTGAGACGTGTGCTGAAATGGGTGCGGCGGTGTCATGCGGGCACAGCCTCTGGGGCCTTCGGTGGAGCTCCCCATGGGGCCACGAAGCGTGTGAGGGGTGTGCCGAAGTGGGTGCGGCGGTGTCATGCGAGCGCAGCCACTGGGGCCTTCGGTGGAGCTCCCGATGGGGCTACGAAATGTGTGAGGGGTGTGCCGAAAAGGGTGCGGTGGTATTATGCCAGCGCAGCCGCTGGGGCCTTCGGTGGAGCTCTCTATGGGACCACGAAGCGTGTGAGGGGTGTGCCGAAAAGGGTGCGGCAGTGTCATGTGAGCGCAGCCACTGGAGCCTGCGGTGGAGCTCCCTATGGGGCCACGAAACGTGTGAGAGGTGTGCCGAAAAGGGTGCGGCGGTGTCATGCGAGCGCAGGCTCTGGGGCCTTCGGTGGAGCTCCCTATGGGGCCACGAAGCGTGTGAGGGGTGTGCCGAAATGGGTGCGGCGGTGTCATGCGAGCGCAGCCTCTGGGGCCTTCGGTGGAGCTCCCTATGGGGCCACGAAGCGTGTGAGAGGTGTGCCGAAAAGGGTGCGGCGGTGTCATGCGGGCACAGCCTTTGGGGCCTTCGGTGGAGCTTCCCCATGGGGCCACGAAGCGTGTGAGGGGTGTGCCGAAATGGGTGCGGCGGTGTCATGCGAGCGCAGCATCTGGGGCCTTCGGTGGAGCTTCCTTTTGGGCCACGAAACGTGTGAGGGGTGTGCCGAAACAGAAACATGCGGAGGGCAGAGGCAAAGAGGGGGCATCGGGAGGAGGAGGAGGAGGAGGAGGAGGAGGAGGAGGAGGAGGAGGAGTGGGAAGGCGGGGCGTTGTCTCTTCAAAACGAGGACCCAGCACCACAGGATGGTTGGGAAAAAAAACAAACGGCACCACCCCACCCACCACCCACCTGTGGCCCTCCATGTTTCGCTACGGCCCATCGGGCGCCGCAGCGTGCAACATGCAAAAGCACAAGCCCGAATTCACGGTACATGCTAAAGCCCGTGGGGCCGCAGGTGGGGTGTTCGTGGCCGAGGCTCGGCGTGGCCAGAAGTTGTCTTTCGTTCCTTAGCCAGCGTCTCCTGTGGTAGTGCGATGATTGTAGATTGGGTCGAAGGATCGCGCAGTATCGCTGATGCATCGGCGATGCGGGTCGCGGGTCATGTGGAACCCGCTGTTCTCCACGCAGACAGCGTGGATCGGCCGATGCAGCCGCGATGCATTGGCGATCCGGCGCGATCCTCTGACACCATCTACTCGGACCCAGTCTTGGAGGCCTCCAATGAAGCAAGCGGGTCTTGATGGGAACGGGCCCTGGGGCTTTTGCCTCCCGGATTTTGGCCTCCTGGGGCTAGGCCACGGGGCCGTGATTACACTACTCAGGATGGACAGCTGGTCCTGGGGAAAGCCCACAGGGTCCAGGACCGTTTGCTTCATGCCAAAGGAGCCGTGGCTTCCGCCAGGGTCCTTCGCCTTGGATGCCTCGAAGCCGCACCGGAAGGCCTCCAACTCGTGCTTGAGGATCAAGACGGACATGTTGCAGTGCTACGAGGGCTCCCCTTGTTACAAGTCCGGGGCTCCCTTCGAGGAGTGCTTGAACTCGAATGACGAGGAGTACGTCACACCTGAGTGCCTCTGGCTCCGAAAGGGGTACTCGCAATGCCGGCGGGACCTCCTTAACCGCAATCGGATATGGCAGCGCGGGAACCGCGCGACATGAGCAGCCAGAGCGCGGTGCCGCGCAGCGCATTGCCTAGCAATTTGCAGCCCACGAGTTTCGTTGGGCATCGTCTTGTGTCAATTTTCTGCAGCAGTGTCTGCGTCTGTGCATATCGTCAGAGGCTGCAGCAGATGCCGTGTAGGTGTGAGGTGCGCCGAGGAGCTCCTCTTTCTCCCCCTCCCCTGTCCCCGCCCTCCCCTCCCCCCTCCCTCGTGCATCATCCCTCCGCTCTCCTCCCATCTCTCTCCTGCCTGCCTCCGCCTGCATCCTCCCTCCCGCTTCCTCCCACCCTTCCTCACTCCCTCGCTCCCCTCTCCTGCTGAGGCGCCTCACTCTCGAGGATGGCTCCGGAGGGCGCCGAGACTGCGTCCATCGGCTGTGGCTCGCCGAAGGTTCCAGGACGGTGCGACTGTCTCCTCGGCTTACCCTGTGCTTCGCCCCTACCTCCGGCGGGACTCCGATTTGGTCTTGCGGAACTCGTTGCCATCGGAGTCTTCCCATGGGGCTTAAGAGGCGGAGGATTCAGCAGCAGGGACTCGATTGCTGATGATCGCTCCGGCTACAGCTTCGGGCCCGACCCTGAGGCTGCCGGCAACTTGACGGGTAAGTTGACGGGGAACGAGCATGCAGGTTTCAGTGCACCAGTTCTACGCGGAGCCGCGGAGCGGCGATTTAGCAGCATTGTTGGGGCGCTTCAGGGCCGCTGGAGCGATTCGGCTCGCCGCCTGAAAGCTGCCACCCCCCGTCACGGTTCGTCTGACGAGGAGAAGCAGGCGGAAGTGGGGAATAGCAGAAGGAGGATAAAGATAGGTCAAGGTGTTCAAAACGAAAGAGGAGCAGCAGCAGCATCGGCAGGACAAGGAAGATGAGAAGTTGGAGGGCGAGTGGGAGTGGGACTGGGAGTGGGAGTGGGAGTGGGATTGGAGCGAGGAGGAAGAGGAGGAGGAGAAGGAGGAGGAGGAGGAGGAGCAGGAGGAGGAGGTGGTGGAGGAGGTAGAGGAGGAGGAGGAGGATGAGTAGGAGTTAGAGTTAGAATTGGAGTTGACGTGAGAGGAGGATGAGGAGGTGGAGAAGAAGGATGAGGAGGAGGGGGAGGAGGAGAATGAAGAGTTGGAGTTGGAGTTGGATTTGGAGTTAGAGATTTAGTTGGAGTTGGAGTGGGAGGAGGAGGAGGAGGGAGGAGGGAGGAGAGGAGGAGGAGGAGAGGAGGAGGAGGAGGAGGAGGAGGAGGGAGGAGGAGGAGGAGGAGGAGGAGGGAGGAGGAGGAGGAGGAGGAGGGAGGGAGGAGGGAGGGGAAGAGGAGGAGGAGGAGGAGGAGGTGGAGCAGGGACTCGAGGAGCAGCAGGCGCTTGCGAGGTGAGCGAGGAGGGCGCGGCAGCGGGGAGCGGCAGGAGCGGGAGCTGAATGGCAGTGTTCGGGGGGGTGGGGGACGTGAGGAGGAAGAGGAGGAGCTGGACGAAGTGGCAAGGAGGGAATGAAGTGGCCCAAAATGAAGCAACTTCCCGGGGGGGGGGGTCCGAACCCTGGGAATCGCTGACTCCTCTCGCTGAGGAGGGAGGTCACGGGACGTCTCTCAGGCAGGCTACCGCCCGAGATGAGGGACCCCCTGCCGCGCTGCCCTCTCTCCCTCCCTCTACTTGTGCTTGCGTTGTCTTGCTGGGTTGGGCTGCGGAATCCCCAGACAGGCTTCATGGACCGACCGACCGACCGAGGAGCTGGACTCAATCAGGGAACCGACCCTTCGAGCCGGACTCAAGAGGGGGAGCTGGTTCAAACGGAGATGGACTCGAGCGGTGTCTTTGTTTCTTCCTCCCTGTCACGGTCGTGCTGCTGCACCTCATGCTGCGTGCGTGCTGCAAGCTGGTGTAATCGCTGCAGGTCGCTGGAGGAAGATGGGGAGCCGGATCAGAAGCAGGAGCTGGAGCAGGAGCGGGAGGAAGAAGAGCTTTAAGAGGACCGCCTTCCCGCCGCGCGTCCGCCGCCTCGGCCCAGACCCGCCCCAGGCCCATCCAGGTGCACCACCAGTGGACCGCGACCAGCGCCGCGCTGGTGCTGGTCCTGCCCAAGGCGCAGCGGCGCCTACCTGCCCGCCTGCCTCCTGTGCCGGGGCCTGTTCTTTCTCCGCAGCTCTCATCGTGGAGAGGCCTGCGGGATGCGTACGGGCAGAATGGTGGGGTGACGCTCTTCGCTGCCCGGATAGCAGAGGAGGATGGGGTACCGATGCCGCTACCCTTCGCTCGTTTTTCCTTGTTTGGGCCTCCTGGAAGGCCTCGTCGCCACCGCTGGATTCGCTTCGAAATGTTGGTTAGAACGCAACCCGGGAGATGCCTGGGGAATGCCAGGATCGGTACCTTTTTCTTTCCCCACGGTACGCCCGTGCAGAAACGCAACACGTACCGCCGTGCTTACAACGTCGGCGTTAGCACGCTGCGTGTTGGCTCGGCACGTGGTGGGCCACGTTTTTGGCGCACGTATCGCGCCAGGCATACGATTTCAGTCTACGTATTGAGCTCCATGTCAACACGCTACGTGTTGCGTGTTTCGTATCGGGGCAGTTAAGGTGACACTGCGCACTGTCCGCACTGTCCGCACCGCGCCGTGGCCTGACACGCGCCCGCCACCCTGGCAGCGCGAGGGCGGCTGGGAGCGACAACCGCAGGTTCGTCTTCCCGTCGGTATGGGTCAGGGGCTGGGGCCCGCAGGGCAGAGAGGACCGCCTCGACCTGATCCGTCGGAAGCCCTGCGCCACCGGTGGCGGGGTGACGCAGCAGAAGTGCCTGCTGGCCCATCTGCAATCGCGGGGTGGGCTCGCTGCACTTTGCCGTGGCCTCTGCACCCTGTCCGGTCTGCTCCGGGTCAACCCACCGATGGGAGCAGGGGCGCGTGTCTCACCCGAGTCCAGATCAAATCAGGTTGTGCGCATGCAGCCCTTGGGAGGTGGTCCAGGCTGGGTGCCTGCAGTCTGGAGCGAGCACACAGACGTGTGTGTGCATGAAGTCCCGCGGGCTGAGAGGGTATGCTTAAGTCGGGCATGTCCCTCTACAGGGGGAATGTTCAAAAATAGAAAAAATTAGTCGGGGGACGATGTTTCGACTATGTTTGACCATTTTGGGGTATACTTTTTGACGGTTTTTAATCTTTCGTGCAACATATGCCTGCATGGGGGACATGCCCGACCTAAGGGTATGCGTTGCGCGAGCGTTTGTGACATGAGGCTGGCCTCGCGGGGGGGGGGGGGGGACGTGTTTTTGTCCGCGGCTTGGCGCGAGCCTCTTTCGTGGCCCCCCCCTATGCGGGGTCGTCTGGGGCCGATTTCTGGTTTATTTTTTAGGGGGGAAATATGTTTTGAGTATTTTTGACTTTTCCTTCAAAATCTGCCTGTAGGGGGACGTGCCCGACCTAACCCTATGCGGGGTCGTCTGGGGCCTGACTCCTTCGCATCCTCTCTCGCGGAAAAAGCGCGCTTGGGGTGCGCACGGGCAGCGCCCGGGAGGCAGCCCAGGCTGGCCCCAGCAGGCCCCCTGGGGCAGCCCAGGCAGGTCTCGATACCCCCCGGGCAGGGGTGCTGAGACCGCCCAGGGTTACACATTGTTCATTTCCAATTGTTCGGAAGTTCTTTGATTTTTTTGAGGAGGCCAAGATCCTTTCATTTCTAAGTGTTCTATCCTGGGCCTCTTCCTGGCCACTAGGGGGCCAGGAACAATTAGAAACGAGCACAATTCGAAATGAGCACGATTAGAAATGAACGACGTGTACATTGGGGGCCAGTGGAGGCCAGCAGGCTGCCAGCAGGTGCCGCGCGGAAGTTTCTTATGCCCACGTGACCCCAGAGACCCACAGCAGTTTTGGGGCGCCTTAGGACCCCCAAAGGTCGACGAGCAATGTGTTCCAAGATTTATCATGGCAAGATGTCTTATCGCATGCGTCTACTGTACCTCATTGGGGCTGTCTGTGCGCAGCCGTCAAGCCTAACCGGTTCCTCGAGGCTTGCCCTTCTGAGGCCCTCGTCGCCACCTATCGGAGGCCGTCTGCGAGAGCGCAGGCTGTCAGTGGCACGTAGACGCGTAGACGCATGCGACCACACGACCACTACACACCACAAGGAATGTTGGAACTGCGTTGGTGGAGCAGTCCCACTTGAAGCTCTCGTTCCCAGTCCTCCCGCAAGGCAGCTCTTCAAGATATCGTCTGGTCCAGGACGGTCACTCGCGGACGTTCTCCAGGGCACCTGCAGCAAAAGTCAGCCAAGCGCGGCAGTCTGCATGAACGTTTTGCTCAGCGTCGCATCGTCAGCAAACCCGAGAAACAATGGACCACGATGGCTTACCCCAGGAGCATCACGTGAAGACGAGGAGTAGGCAGAGGAGGAGTTGCAGACAGTAGGTAGTAGCAGGTCTGACCCCTCTGTGGGATCCTCCGCCAATCTTTGTTGTGTTGGGGGCTTGACCCCCCCCCCCCACACACACAAGCAAATAGACAAACAAACAAACACACAAACAAATAACACACCAAACAAGCACACAAGCAAACAAGCAACATAACGTGCAGCGCGTCACGTTTTGGGTGGTGGAGGGTCCCGCCTCCTGTGCCTTCCACCCACACGCAGCCACACACACACACACAACAACAACAACAACAACAACAACAACAACAACAACAACAGCAACAACAACAACAACAGCAACAACAACAGCAACAACGACAACAACAACAGCAACAGCAACAGCAACAACAACAAAAACCTTTGTCACGAGGGTTCTGTGATGGGTTTTCCGGACCCCCCGCACCAGCCAACCCTTTACACCCCCCCTCGCTTTTTCGGGGGGGTTGGCGGTCTCAGGCCCCCGCTCCCCCCCCCCCACAAAAAAAAACACTTGTTTCCCTGCGGGGTTTTCAAGAACAGCTGAATTCGGCGCGACCCCAATTCGGGTAAGTATTTGTTTCGCCCGGACAGGTCAAAGTAGTTCTGAGCATCGCAACTGAATGCAATTATTGGCATTGCTTGCTTGGCATTGCTTTGCATTGACTGGCGCTGCTTCTTGGCAACAAAAGGAATCGTTGCTTGGCAGTGCATCGCGCTGCTGTGCATTGCTTCGCGTTGCTTGGGACTGCTTTGCTTTGTACGCGCTTCCCTGGGCGACCCTAGGCAACCCTGTGCAACCCGGGCAAGCCCGAGGAACGCCGAGCGCCGCTTCTCAGCAAGGGCCCAGCACCCACTGGTTTCTGTCACAAACAGTAAGAACGCTTGAGGCAAGGCCTGCACATTGGGGGAAAGGGAAACAACATTCAGCTCCTATTCTTTTTGCCAACTATCCTGTGGTGTTGGGTTCTCGTATTCAAGAGACAGCGCCCCGCGTCACCCCTCTCCTCCTCCCCCTCCCCCTTCCTCCCATCCCTCCGTCCGCCCTCCGCATGTCAACCATTTCGGCACACCCTTCACACGCTTCGTGGCCGCACAGGGACCTCGACCTGAGGCCCCAGTGGCGACGTTCGCATGTGGGCGCCACGCCCGTTTCGGCACATCACTCACACGCTTCGCAGCCCCATAGGGAGCTCCACTTATGGCCCCAGAGGCGACGTTCGCATGTGGGCGTCACGCCCGTGGTGGCACATCCCTCACGCGTTGCGTGGGGCACATAGGAACCTCCACCTGAGGCCGCAGTGGCGACGGTCGCATGTGGGCGTCACGCCCGTTTCGGCACACCCCTCACGTTTCGTAGCCCCATAGGGGGCTACACCTGAGGCCCCAATGGCGACGTTCGCATGTGAGCGTCACGCCAGTTTCGGTACACCCCTCACACGTTCCGTGGCCCGATAAGGGGCTCCACCGAAGGCCCCACTGGCGACGCATGTGGGCGTCACGCCCGTTCCGTCACAGCCTTCACACGCTTCGTAGCCCCATAGGGAACTCCACCGAAGGCCCCAGTGGCGGTGTCCACAATCGGCCCGTCTTGGGTGCATATTGGGCCGTCTTTGAGGCATCTTGGGGCCATCTTGGCCGGCCTGGAGGGCATCTTGGCCGTCTTGGAGGTATCTTGGAGGCCATCTTGGGCCATCGTGGTTCAGCACGCCGGGCACCCCTGTGGCAAGCCAACGGGGGGCGGCAGATATCGAAGACGCCTACGGCGCATCACCGCCGCCCCCAGCTTTTGGGAATCGCCATTGTGGCCGAGCGCTGTGGCAATAGCTCTGCCAAGCTATTGGGCCATGTGTCCCCCAGCCTTTGTAGAAACCTCCTGGGAACACACGGGGGAGGATTGTGGGAAGATCACGAGGAGGAGGAGGAGGAGGAGGAGGAGGAGGAGGAGGAGGAGGAGGAGGAGGACCAGTGGAAACGCCACATTTTGAAAACCACCCGCCTCAATCCGTGGAACTCTTGCAAATTTGTTCATCGAATGTGCGCGGCGCTAAACCGAAAACCAAATTTTGAAAACGACCCGCCCTCAATCGGTGAAACTTTTGCAAATGTTGAAAACGAATGTGCGCGGCGCTGAGGCGAGAGCCACATTTTGAAAACGACCCGCCTTCAATCCGTGAAAACATTGCACATGTGTTGAACAAATGTGCGCGGCGCTGAGGCGAGAGCCACAGTTGGAAAAAACGCATTCAATCCGTGAAACTCTTGCAAATGTCTCAAACGAATGCGCTCAGCGCTACGGCGGCAGTAACATTTTGAAAACGACCCGCCCTCAACCTGCGAAGCTCTTGCAATTTGTTTAAACGAATGTGCGCGGCGCTCAGGCGAGAGCCACATTTTGAAAACCAGCCGCCCACCATCTGTGAAACTGCTGTCACGTTTTAAGTTTCAGAGTCATCAGGCGAAACGCCCGGCCCGTCCGAAAAACTGGCCTCGGGGTGCGACAGGGACAAGTTATCTATAAGGAGAAGGAGAATGAGGAAGGATGAGGAGGAGGAGGAGGAGGAGGAGGAGCAGGAGGAGGAGCAGGAGGAGGAGGGGGCATCTTGGGAGCCTTTGGGGGCACTCATGTGGCATCCTTGGAGCTCCCTGGGGGCCTCTTGGGCGGCTTTGGGGTCCTATTGGGGGCCTCTTTGGCTGTCTAAAGGCA